ACCAGACACAAGTGGTTTCCGAGATTCATAGATGAAAAACAAAAGGAGTATCCGAGATTTTTAAAACTACTTCAAAAACTAGACAAAAGAGGTCCCCGAGATTCTTTTATACTACTTCAAAAACCAGACACAAAGAGTCCCTGATTTTCTGCCAAACTGATTACTTCAAAAACAAGAGCGACAAGAGGTCTCCGAGATTCTTTAAAAACGTCTTCCAAAAAAAGGGTCCTTGAAGTTCTCTCAAATTAGGTACTTCAAAAACCAGATACAAGAGGCACCCAAAGATTTTTTTAAATTACTTCAAAAACAAGAGATGGTACCCCAAAAGGTCCCCAACAATCTTTGAAGCTACTTCAAAAACGAAAGAGTTCCAGGAGATTTTTTTAGGCACAAGAAGTCCCCGAGATTCTTTCGAACTACTTCAAAAACAAAAAAAGAATCCCCGAAATTCTTTCAAATTACTTCAAAAACAAGAGATGGTACCCCAAAAGGTCCCCAACAATCTTTGAGGCTACTTCAAAAACGAAAGAGTTCCAGGAGATTTTTTTAGGCACAAGAAGTCCCCGAGATTCTTTCGAACTACTTCAAAAACAAAAAAAGAATCCCCGAAATTCTTTCAAATTACTTCAAAAACAAAAAGGGAAGTGGTTCTCGAGATTTTTTCAAAATTTCTTCAAAAACAAAACAAGTGGGGTTCCCGAGATTCTTTCAAACTACTTCAAAAACTAGACGCAAGAGGTCTTTGATTTGCTCCCAAACTAGTTACTTCAAAAAGTAGGCCCTCGAGATTTTTTCAAATTACTTCAAAAACAAGAACCACAGGGGGTCTCCACAATTCTTTCAAAACTTCTTCCAAAACGAAAAGGGAGTTCTCTCAAACTCGGTACTTCAAAAACCAGATACAAGAGGCTCCCGAGATTCCTTCAAATTGCATACTTCAAAAAAAAACCCAAGGGATTGTCGATATTTTTTTAAATTACTTCAAAAACTAAAGATGGTATCCCAAGAGGTCCCCGAGATTCTTTCGAACTACTTCAAAAACAAAAAGGAAAGTGGTTCTCGAGATTGTTTCTAATCACTTAAAAAAAAAGCTGCAGGGGGTCTTCGAGATTTTTTCAAAACTTCTTCAAAAACAAAACAAATGAAGTTACCGAGATTCTTTAAAACTACTTCAAAAACCAGACACAAGGGGTCTCTGATTTTCTCCCAAACTAGTTACTTCAAAAAGTAGGCCCTCGAGATTCTTTCAAATTACTTCAAAAACAAGAGCCACAGAGAGTCCAAAATTCTTTCAAAACTTCTTCCAAAACGAAAAGAGAGTTCTCTCAAACTAGGTACTTCAAAAACCAGATACAAGGGGCCTCCGAGATTCTTTCAAATCACATACTTCAAAAGAAAAACCCAAGGGATCCTGGAGATTTTTTTAAATTACTTCAAAAACAAGAGATGGTACCCAAAGATTTTTTTCAAATTACTGCCAAAAACAAAACAAAAGGTGATCGCTAAGATTCCTTCAAACTAGGTATTTCAAAAATCAGATACAATGGACCCCCTAAATTTTTTCAAATTGTATATTTCAAAAAAAAACCTGAAAGGTCTCCGAGATTCATAATTCAAAAACAAAAAAAGTATCCGAGATCCTTAAAACTACTTCAAAAACTAGACACAAGAAGTCCCCAAGATTCTTTCAAACTACATACTTCAAAAATAAAACAAAAAGGGTCTTCGAGATTCTTTCAAACTACTTCAAAAGCAAAACAAAAGTTTTTCCCGAGATTCTTTCAAACAACTTCAAAAACCAGACACAAGAGGTTCCTGATTTTCTCCCAAACTAAGTTACTTCAAAAACAAGAGCCTCGGGGGATCTCCGAGATTCTTTCAAAACTTCTTCCAAAACAAAAAGGGTCCTCAAAATTCTCCGAAATTAGCTACTTCAAAAACCAGATACAAGGGGCTCACGAGATTCTTTCAAATTACATAGTTCAAGAAAAAACCCAAGGAATCCTCGAGATTTTTTAAATTACTGCAAAAACAAGTGATTCCTTCAAATTGTTACTTCAAAAATCAAATACAAGAGGTCCCCGAAATTCTTTCAAATTGTATACTTCAAAAAAAACCTAATAAAAAAAACCTCCGAGATTCTTTCAAAAAAACAAAACAACAGTGGTCCTCGAGATTCTTTCAAATAACTTCAAAAAGTAGACATAAGTGGTCTCCGAGATTCACAGTTCAAAAACAAAAGTAGGACGCGAGATTCTTAAAACTACTTCAAAAACCAGGCACAAGAGGTCCCCGAAATTCTTTCAAATTACTTCAAAAACAAAACACAAATGGTCTCCGAGATTTTTTCAAAACTTCTGCAATAACAAAACAAATGGGGTTTCCGAGATTCTTTCAAACTACTTCAAAAGCAAGAGCCACAGGGGGTTCTTTCAAAAGTTCTTCCAAAACGAAAAGGGAATTCCCTCAAACTAGGTACTTCAAAAACCAGATAGAAGAAGCCCCCGAGATTCTTTCAAATTACATACTTCAAAAAAAACCCAAGGAATCCTCGAGATTTTTTTAAATTACTCAAAAACAAGAGAAGGTATCCTCAAGATTTTCTCAAACTACTGCAAAAACAAAACAACAGTAGTCCCCGAGATTCTTTCAAACTACTTCAAATACAAAACACAAGATTCATAGTTCAAAAACAAAAGGAGTAGCCAAGATTCTTAAAACTACTTTAAACACTAGACACAAATGGTCTCCGATATTCATACTTCAAAAACAAAAGGAGTATCCGAGATTCTTAAAACTACTTCAAAAACTAGGCACAAGAGGTCCGCGAGATTCTTCCGAACTACTTCAAAAACTAGACACAAAAGGTCCCTGAGATTGTTTCAAACCTCGTACTTCAAGAAAAAACAAGGAATGAGCCACAGGGGGTCTCTGAGATTCTTTCAAACTACTGCAAAAACCAGACACAAGGGGTACCTAATTTTCTCCCAAAGTAGTTACTTCAAAAATCAGATACAAGAGGCCCTCGAGATTCTTTCAAAACTTCTTCAAAAACAAAAAAGTCCTCGAAGTTCTCTCAAATTAAGTACTTCAAAAACCAGATACAAAAGAACTCCGATATTCATACTTCAAAAACAAAAGGAGTATCCGAGGTTCTTAAAACTACTTCAAGAATTAGGCATAAATACAAAAGGATTTCCCGAGATTCTTTCAAATTACTTCAAAAACAAAAATGGGAGTAGTTCTCGAGATTCTTTCAAATTGCTTCGAAACCAATACACAGAAAAATCCCCGATATTCTTCTTTGGGTAAAAAACGTCATTTATCTCTTTGTCCCAACACGTTAAATAAATTACGTCCACAGTTGCAGATAGGTGGGACATAATAGCCTCCTGCAGGGTGATTGATTTTTTTAAACGCAGTGTATGTTAAAATGGTTTAAATGTTAAACAATAATATACTCCTATACTTGTGGCGTATGAATCCGCTTTGATTTTTTCTCCTAGATGTCTAAATTTTCGCAAAAAAAATCGAACTGTATGATCACCATTTATACTAGTATAAGTGGCAGTCTGATTACGTCTCCGTGGCAATATTTGAGGCACTAACTAGCCGACTTCTTTTTTTATTTTAAACTACGACTCTTGTTATCTGTATATTTTTTATTGATCAAATCTCAAGAACGGTATACTCCAGTGTTGTATTATTATTATCATCATTATTGTTATCCTGCACGTATCGGAATTGACATACGTGTCCTTGCTGAAATAGTGTCAAATATTTTCAAATGGGAAAACTCGCTAGAAATAGAGACATAACCTTGTCCTTTATCAGTGAATTCACACTTTTGATGCATTTGTTAATCAGTTTCCAGGGACGGCTTATCCTATGAAGCAATAAACTTGCTCTGTGTTATTATTTTATAAAAATTACACATTTTTGACTTGCTTATTAATGTTTTTAAAATTTATTAAACATTGCGTTCGAATCATAGACACTGGCAAAACATGGGTGATTAAATTATAATTAATAAATAATTCAAAAAACAAGCTCTACAAGAATCCTAAAAAATATGCATCTAGTGCTGTGGTCTAAATGAAAAATGCCGCTTGGGTAGGTTTACATTGTATTAAAATTAATGTGCAAGGATTACCAGACTTTATTAACGTTTTCAATTTCTTGCCATAAATATACCTCGCTGAAACCACTAACATGTATTATAATGTGCGGTATTTTTATAAAATGTGGAAAGTCTGATGTGTTTGATTGATTAAAAAAAAAGGGTAAACCCACTTTAATAAAATGCAGGTCACCCTAACCACTAATTGGGTATACCCAGTAGGTATAATTGAAATAAAAACAATACTTCTAGTGTTTAATGGTACAGAAACACTTCATTTGTTATCAAGCAATCTTAACATCCTTGTTCACAGTTCCACCAGTGATGCATAAAAATTTCCCGCAATCACAACTGATGCAAATTCGATTACTAAAAAAAACGACAACGTTTATGGAATCCATGTGACGTTCTGAGAATGCAGCGGTTTGTTACAATACAAAAGTTTCATTAAAATAAGCATTCTCTAATAACTGTAATTACATAAACATTGTAGTTCGTGCAGTAGCTTTCTGTTTTACATAATCTTGAACTATCTTTCATTACACGAGTATTAACTTACACATATCTGTAAATAAAAAGGCTGCTAGGCCAAACGCGGTTGTTCAATTAAAACGCTACGTTATAATTGCATTCTTGTGGCGACAATTAAGGGGGCGTTGGACGAAAATGCTTTAAAATTTTTAATTGTGGCACTAAAATGGATTCCGTTCTTTGCATGTCAAGTCTAAGTTTGCAGCTGACCTAAATAGAATAAAAAAATACTTGACCTTTATCTGATTTGTAGTCGACAATGTCGTTAATAGACTATAGGAAACGTGAAGGTCCTAAGTTGGATCCCGGTGTATAGTTCAATGTAAACTAACGAACCTTGTTCTTCCAGCCGCAGGACGACGACGTCCTCATAGACGAGCAGTTTTCGCCGAGCGACTCAAAGCACGACAACACCTCTCGGACAGGCTCGATGAAATCCGTACAAAACGTAACGACATCAGGTGCACAGTCATTCCTGACGCCGGCCCTGGAAAAAGAATGGCCAGACGTAATCAAAATGAACGACTATCTGAACACAGGCCGGCGGCAGCAATTCTGGGAAGAGCCCTTCACGAAACGCGTAATGGACGCCATCAAGACTAAAAATCTCGAGATGAAGGTGGCAGCTGAGCTGCTAGGCGTCTCATACGGAACCCTCTACGGAAGATATCGGGACTCGTACGGTTGCTTGAAGCATCCCTATCGGTAATTATTCCGCCTGTTATTAGTTAGTCTCTCGTTCTGTCGTTACTGTTCGGTGTTGTACGGTTGTCCATGCAATTGATGCCGTTCTCGGAGTTTTGCTAGCACGTTTTGAAGGTTTTTTGCCTACACGGAGTGGTTTAGTCGCTTTGGAGCGACGAGAGCACGAAAAGGCTGGTTTGTGCTGTCGGAATTAAGTACGACAGGACAAGTCGGTTTTGGTATTATCATTTTTTGAAATGACAGAAACTGTTTTTGTTGGTGGTGGGTTTGGCATTTCATTTCATGCGCAGTCGGAATTTTTGAGGGTGCATTGTTGTCGATGTCCATCAACTAACTATAGACGTATGGCATTCCATGAAATAATTGGGTGTGTTGAATTTTTAGGGTAGAGGGCGATCATAAGTTGGTTTTTTGCAGCGATGGAAACGGCTGAATGTTCAAGGAGGAATGTCGCAAGATGGAGAGTTGTGAACATGTTTTTGTAATTCTGTTGTGGCGTTGGTTTTTCGTTTATTTTTCCACTGAAAATTTTACTTTTATTGTTTTATCGTTCGTTTGTTATTAATGTACTTGTTAATAGTTTATAAATATGACGAAATATGTTCACATCTGGAGTTCCTTCTGACATTTGTAGCTTTTAGATTAGCATTTCTTTTCTTATGGAAACCATGTGCATTTAGGTTAAGTTTCAAATATTTTGTTGTATAAACTATGTCGGACGAAATTAAAGTACTAATAAATTAATCAAATTTCACATTAAAAAAATACATTTACACAAAAACTCCGCACAAAATGTGGTCAAGAAATTGGAGTTTGACGAGGTCTCATAAACAAGAACGAAACGATTCAGTCGGAACTAAATCACCTCATATGAGACATTTCTCTGTTAAAAAAACCATCTCGACTGAAACAAAAAAAAATGGTATCAGGGGGATTTGCCAATACTGATCACGGAATAATGGCTTAAAGGCATGTTTTAGAGTTGATGGCTTCGTCGTCTTGTGTTGTAATAGAAAACATAATTGACAAAATTGACGTTTTATCCATTCGGGGTTTGAGGGGATTGTTCCTTCAGAATGAAAATTCAAAAATTTTAAATTAAATCTGTTTTAATGAAACAGGAACCGCAAAAAAGAACAAAATATTCCACCAAAAAATTAATTGTCACTAATTATGACATTTGAATTTTTGTTGGCATTACTGTGAGCATGACCGTGCCTACTTGGATGTTAGAATCGTGTAATGAGAGCTCTTTGTAAAGGTGTCAATATTACCAGCATAATTAATACCACCAGAAATAAAGTTTTAGCGACAACTATACTTAAAGTTTGTTTGCTAAAGTTGTGAATTGTCGGTGTCAAACTTTTCAGAAATTTTCTGGGCTGTACTAACTTCCAGGTAATAAATCTAGTTACTTTGATAAAAATACTTTTCAGGTTATTTTTATAATTGGCATTTTTTAAATTTCTTCAAAAACTGTGTTTACAACCTGGACGTTAAATAAAATTTTGCTGCCCAATGAATTTTTCACCATTTTGACAATTCACAACCTTAATGACCAAACTTTGGGTATTTTGTTGCGGTAAGGTTTTAGTAACTGTATCCGGCATACTAGATTAGTTTTTTAATGCAGTAATTATATACCGTTCAAATGAAATTTATCATATTAGGTTAAGTTATTTTTAATGTAAGGTTAGAAAATCCGACAAAAACTGTTGCCAGTAATTTCACACTTTGTATTTTCCATTCCAATAAGTACGATTCAAAGCACTGAACTAAAGAATTATTATTTCAGAATTTAATAAACATAGTCAATCTATTGTGGAAAAATAAGGATTTTGCAATTAAGCTCCGCCTTCCGACTCACGACAAATAAAAAAAGTCATCACAATTGAGAAAGGGTGGGTGGGTGGGGCTTATATTTTGTCCATTTTTTTCTTAATATTCGTAGTCTTCTTTTCACAACGAGCATTGAAGTAAGTAATTATTATTGCAGTATTAAATAAACATAGTCAGTATAGTCAAATTTAAAATTCATATTTGCATAAGTAACAATTCAGTTTTTACTTTAATAATCCTATCAACATTTGTTATTATACTTACTGTAAAATTATTCTTAGCAGTTAACATAAAATAATGCAAAGGAGTAAATTACCCAGTAATGTCTTCATCCTAATTCTAGTTGATTGTACTCAAAATTTGGAATACATGGATCAAGAGAAAAGGCAAACGCTATGTTTTTACAGCACTTACCTAATTAAAGACTAAATGACGAATTCTGTATACTTACATGTTAAATTTTTTATTTTTTTTGTAGAAACAAAGGCGAAATCTAAGCCCGCCCACCCACCCTGTCTCAATTGTGATGATTTCTTTATTCATCGTGAGTCAAGAGGGCGGAGCTTAACTGCAAAACCCTTCTTTCTCCAGAAGAAATTACCATTAAGACATATTTTTGAGTATCGTGTTGTTCAAAGTAATTAAGTAAATATATTAAGTAACAATTAAAATCAGATTGTGATCGAGACGAATGGGTAGAGCTTATGTTTTGGCTTTTCAAGAATATGTTTCACATAGCAAACTCTTGTAGAAAAATAAGGATTTTGCAGTTAAACTCCGCCCTATGGCTTACGACGAGTAAAAAAAAATCGTCACGACTGAGACAGGGTGGGTGGGCGGGGCTTATATTTTGAATTTTTTTTAATTATTATACATAGACATATTTTCACAACCAGAAACATAAATATTTAAAATAGTCAATTTTTGTAGCGAAATATAAATTTTGCAGTTACGCTCCGCCCCTCCGTTTGACAACGAATCAAAACTTTATCACTATTGAGGTCGGAGCAAGGGTGGGTGGGCTTAATCTCGTGATGAATTTTTCATTCGTTACCAAACCGAGGGGCGAAACATAACTGCAAAATCCCTATAAAAATGTACAATTTTAAATATGTTTTAAGTTTTTGTTCTGGAAAGATGGCTACGTATGTTAAGAAAAAAAAAGCCAAAATATAGGCCCCGCCCACCCACCCTGTCTCAATTGTGATGATTTCTTTATTCATCGTGAGTCAAGAGGGCGGAGCTTAACTGCAAAACCCTTATTTCTCCAGAAGAAATTACCATTAAGATCTATTTTTGAGTATCGTGTGATTCAAAGTAATTAACTAAGTATATTAAGTAACAATTAAAATCAGATTGAGATCTAGACGAATGGGTAGAGTTTATGTTTTGGCTTTTCAAGAATGTTTCACATAGCAATCTCTTGTAGAAAAATAAGGATTTTGCAGTTAAGCTCCGCCCTATGGCTTACGACGAGTAAAAAAAATCGTCACGACTGAGACAGGGTGGGTGGGCGGGGCTTATATTTTGTCTTTTTTTAATTCATATACATAGTCATATTTTCACAACAAGAAACATAAATATTTAAAATGGTCAATTTTTGTAGCGAAATATAGATTTTGCAGTTATGCTCCGCCCCTCGGTCTGACAACGAATGAAAACTTCATCACTATTGAGGTAGGGACAAGTATGGGTGGGCTTAATTTCGTGATGAATTTTTCATTCGTTACCAAACCTAGGGGCGAAACGTAACTACAAGATCCCTATAAAAATGTACAATTTTTAACATGTTTTAAGTTTTTGTTCTGGAAAGATGACTACGTCTGTTAAGAAAAAAAAAGCCAAAATATAGGCCCCGCCCACCCACACTGTCTCAATTGTGGTGATTTCTTTATTCATCGTGAGTCAAGAGGGCGGAGCTTAACTGCAAAACCGTTATTTCTCCAGAAAAAATTACCATTAAGATCTATTTTTGAGTATCGTGTTCAAAGTATTTAACTAAGTACATTAAGGAACAATTAAAATCAGATTGAGATCGAGACGAATGGGTAGAGCTTATGTTTTGGCTTTTCAAGAATATGTTTCACATAGCAATCTCTTGTAGAAAAATAAGGATTTTGCAGTTAAGCTCCGCCCCACAGCTTACAACGAGTAAAAAAAATCGTCACGACTGAGACAGGGTGGGTGGGCGGGGCTAACATTTTGCCTTTTTTTAATTAATATATTTTCACAACAAGAAACATAAATATTTAAAATGGTCAATTTTTGTAGCGAAATATAGATTTTGTAGTTATGCTCCGCCCCTCGGTCTGACAACGAATGAAAACTTTATCCCTATTGAGGTCGGGGCCAGCGTAGGTGGCCTTAATCTCGTGATTAATTTTTCATTCGTTACCAAACCGAGGGGCGAAACATAACTGCAAAATCCCTATAAAAATGTACAATTTTAAACATGTTTTAAGTTTTTGTTCTGGAAAGATGACTACGTCTGTTAAGACAAAAAATGGCAATACATAAGTCCCGCCCACCCACCCTGTCTCAATTGTGATGATTTCTTTATTCATCGTGAGTCAAGAGGGCGGAGCTTAACTGCAAAACCCCTATTTCTCCAGAAGAAATTACCATTAAGATCTATTTTTGAGTATCGTGTTGTTCAAAGTAATTAACTAAGTATATTAAGGAACAATTAAAATCAGATTGAGATCTAGACGAATGGGTAGAGCTTATGTTTTTTGTCTTTCCAAGAATATGTTTCACATAGCAATCTCTTGTAGAAAAATAAGGATTTTGCAGTTAAGCTCCGCCCTATGGCTTACGACGAGTAAAAAAAATCGTCACGACTGAGACAGGGTGGGTGGGCGGGGCTTATATTTTGCCTTTTTTTTAATTAATATACGTAGTCATATTTTCACAACAAGAAACATAAATATTTAAAATGGTCAATTTTTGTAGCGAAATATAAATTTTGCAGTTATGCTCCACCCCTCGGTCTGACAACGAATGAAAACTTCATCAGTATTGAGGTCCGGGCAAGTGTGGGTGGGCTTGATCTCGTAATGAATTTTTCATTCGTTATCAAACCGAGGAGCGAAACATTACTGCAAAATCCCTGTAAAAATGTACAATTTTATACATGTTTTCTGTATTTGTTTTGGAAAGATGGCTACGTATGTTAAGAAAAAAAAATGACAAAATATAAGCCCCGCCCACCCACCCTGTCTCAATTGTGATGATTTTTTTATTCATCGCGAGTCAAGAGGGCGGAGCTTAACTGCAAAACCCTTATTTCTCCAGAAGAAATTACCATTAAGATCTATTTTTGAGTATCGTTTTGTTCAAAGTAATGAACTATGTATATTAAGTAACAATTAAAATCAGAATGAGATCGATACGAATGGGTAGAGCTTATGTTTTGGCTTTTCAAGAATATGTTTCACATAGCAATCTCTAGTCGAAAAATAAGGATTTTGCAGTTAAGCTCCGCCCTATGGCTTACGACGAGTAAAAAAAATCGTCACGATGGAGACAGGGTGGGTGGGCGGGGCTTATATTTTGTCCTTTTTTAAATTAATATATGTAGTCATATTTTCACAACAAGAAACATAAATATGGTCAATTTTTGTGGCGAAATATAGCTTTTGCAGTTATGCTCCACTCCTCGGTCTGACAACGAATGAAAACTTTATCTCTATTGAGGTCGGGGCCAGCGTAGGTGGGCTTAATCTCGTGATGAATTTTTCATTCGTTGCCAAACCAAAGGGAGAAACGTAACTGCAAAATCCCTACAAAAATGTACCATTTTAAAAATGTTTTAAGTTTTTGTTGTGGAAAGATGACTACGTATATTAAGAAAGAAATAAAAAAATATAAGCCCCGCCCACCCACCCTGTCTCAATTGTAATTATTTTTTTTTATTCATTGTGAGCCAAGAGGGCAGAGCTTAATTGCATATAAGATATATTTTTGAGTATCGTGTTGTGCAAAGAATACTAAGTATATTAAGAAAAAATTAAAGCCAGATCCTATTTTTTGACTTTCTTTTGTAGTTAAAACATACATATAGTTTGCATTACTCAGGAACATGTTTCACATAGCAATTTCTCGTAGAAAATGAGGATTTTGCAATTAAGCCCCGCCCCACGGCTTACGAAGAGTAAAGAAAAATAATCACGATTGAGATCGGGTGGGTGGGCGGGGCTTATATTTTGCCTTTTTTTATTAATATACTTAGTCATTTTTTTACAAGAAGAAACTTAAAACATAATGATGAATTGTGATGATTTTTTTTATTCGTTATGAGCCAAGAGGGCGGAGCTTAATTGCAAAACCCTTATTTCTTCAGAAGAAATTTCCACGTAAGATATATTTTTGAGTATCGTGTTTTTCAAAGAATTCTAAGTATATTAGGTAAAGGCAGATGAGATCGAGACGAATGGGTAGGGCTTATGTTTTGGCTTTCTTTTGTACTTTTATATAGTTTGCTTTGAACAATACGACTACTCATGAACATGTTTCACATAGCAATTTCTGGTAGAAAAATAAGGATTTTGCAATTAAGCTCCGCCCCACGGCGTACGACGAGCAAAAAAAATCATCACGACTGAGGTCGAGTGGGTGGGCGGGGCTTATATTTTTGGCTTTTTTAATTAATATAGATACGTAGTCATCTTTTCACAACAAGAAACAAACATGTTTAAGATGGTAAATTGTTGCAGGGAAATATGAATTTTGCAGTTATGCTCCGCCTCTTGGTCTGACAACGAATGAAAACTTCATCACTATTGAGGTCTGGACAGATATGGGTCGGGCTTAATGTCATGATGAATTTTTCATTCGTTGCCATATCGAGGGGCGAAACGTAACTGCAAAATCCGTATTTTCCTAAAGAATTTACCATTTTAAACATGCTTTAAGTGTTTCTTGTGGAAAGATGACTACGTATATTAAAAAAAAGGGCATAATGTAAGCCCCGCCCACCCGCCCTGTCTCAATTGTAATGATTTTTTTTATTCGTCGTGCGCCAAGAGGGCGGAGCTTAATTGCAAAACCCTTGTTTCTCCAGAAGAAATATCCACGCAAGATATATTTTTGAATATAGTGTTGTTCAAAAAATGCTAAGTATATAAGGTAAAAATTAAAACCAGATTGAGATCGAGACGAATGGGTGGAGTTTATGTTTTAGCTTTCTTTTGTACTTAATACATATAGTTTGCTTTCAACAACACGATCATCCAAGAACATGTTTTCACATAGTAGAAAGATAAGGATTTTTCAGTTAAACCCCGCCCCTCGGCTTAAGACGAATAAAAAATCATCAGAATTGAGATCGGGCGGGTGGGCGGGGCTTATATTTTACCTTTTTTTTTATTAATACACCTAATCATATTTTCACAAGAAGAAACTTAAAACATGTTTAAAATGATAAAAACTTGATCACTATTGGGTCGGGCCACGGTTGTAGAATAGATAGGTTTGTACACTAATGGCTTGGGATGGCGACGCTTCTTTTCGATCCCTATATCCATGGAAAGGACACATACAGCTAGCGCCTCTACCTTGTCGAGCGGAAATCATTCTAGTTATTTTGGGGATTTTCGTTTACATTGCTTTATGAACAATACAAAATTTGTAAATGACATTTGATCGGAGTCGATAAGTAGGATTTCTTTTATTAATTACATCGGTTATAGACAGATGCCTATAGAGTTCTGTGTCCCTAAAACGTCAAAAACCAGGCGACGCGATCGACAATTGGCGTCGCTAACCAGGGATATGCAAATGTATGCTAGTGTATCAACCTATCTATTCTACAACCGTGGGTCGGGCTTAATATCGTGATAAATTCTTCATTTGTTGCCAAACCGAGGGGCCAAACGGAACTGCAAAATCCGCATTTCCCTACTAAAATTTACCATTTTAAACATGTTTTAAGTTTTTGTTGAAGATGACTACGTATATTAAAACAAGGTGCAAAATATATACCCCGCCCACCCACCCAGTCTCAATTGTGATGAATTTTTTTATTCATCGTGAGCCAAGAGGGTGGAGCTTAGCTTCAAAACCCTTATTTCTCCAGAAGAAATTACCATTAAGATATATTTTTCAGTATCGTGTTATTCTAAGAATACTAAGTATATTAAGTAAAAATTAAAGCCAGATGAGTTCGAAACAAATAGGTAGAGCTTATGTTTTGGCTTTCTCAAGAACATGTCTCACATAGCAATTTCTTGTAGAAAAATAAGGATTTGCAATTAAGCTCCGCCCCACGGCTTACAACTAGTAAAAAGAATTATCACGACTGAGATCGGGTGGGTGGGCGGGGCTTATATTTTACCATTTCTTTCTTATTATACGTTGTCACCTTTCCACAACAAAAACTTACAACATTTTTAAAATGGTACATTTTTGTAGGGAAATATTGATTTTGCAGTTATGCTCCGCCCCTTGGTCTGACAACTGGTCACTATTGAGGTCGCGACAGGTATGGGTCGGGCTTAATATCGTGATGAAGTTTTCATTCGTTGCCATACCGAGGGGCGGAGCTTAATTGCAAAATCCATACTTCCCTACAAAAATTTTAGACATTTTAAGTTTTTGTTGTGGAAAGATGGCTACGTATATTAATTAAAAAAAATCCAAAATATAAATAACGCCCACCCACCCTTGCCGAATAAATCCTACCCAAAATGTGCAAAATATGATGAGTTTTTACTTGTGATTCATCATTGCATTCATATTTTTTATTGATCAAATTAATAAAGGACGTACAGTAATGAGGAATTTGGTACTTTCATATTTTCTCGATATTTCATAACCTCTAGACAAGGCAGTAGCTAGTGGGAGCTCTAGACAAATTATAATTAACCAAATGTGAATTAGAATATCGAAAATCAAAATAAAATGTAGTGTTTTATTCAATAAGCGGAAGTCAAATCAATAAAAAAGTCTGGACCGTCGGCATAGACTATGTACTCCAAGTAGATAAAAAATAATCATTTGTCGCTTAAATGCATAGAACGTAAAATGATGGCGCTAATTGCCTTTAAATTCTTGCAAAAACACTCCCAAAAAGCGCCTCGTAATAAATTCGCGTCTCGCAAAAACCCCTGAAATCGAATCAAACCGAAATTTATTTTCAAACTAGATTTTCTCTCCTCCGTCCACCATCCATAAGAAAAGAAATGCTGTATTAGTGTATTCGTTGTCGTTTGGGTTTTTCAATTTCCATCCGTCTGTCGTTTCATGCATCATTTAGCTTCAGCTGCAGAAATCATAATCGAGCTTCAAGCTTGTTGTAAAATCAAGCAATCAAACTGCAGTGTAATTATTTTTCGAGTGGTCGAATATGTTTTTTGTGTTTAGACCGAGCAATGCGTCCGAAGGGGGGAGTAGTAACGTAGCCGAGAGCGGCAATGAGTGCCCGGACACGGTAACAGATTGAAGATGTTTTGACTGGCTTTTGCAGAGTGCGCGATTTCTGGACAGAACAAGGGCCGACGGACGTGTTGTTGAAGTTGAAGAAGAAGGAGATAACGTTGTACAGGGCCGCCGAGCAGTTGAACGTGACGCCGCAGACGTTGTCGAACTATTTGATAAGCATGTCGCAGATCGACAACAACGAAGCGAACGTCAGCAACCAGTCGAACGCGATCGAGTGCTACGAAGAGGCCGACTCGGACGAGGAGGGCGACACCGTTCTTCCGGACGTGCCCTCGTCGAACAACACGAGCCTCTTCAAGAATCTCCTCTCGAGCACCATCAACACATCCACGTCCAGCAACTCAGTATTGGCCAACTGTCCCGACATTACCATCATCAAGAAGGAGAAGCACGAGGGTAAAGTCAACAATAACTCCGATCATTCCGACAGTAATAGTGACCAAACTAAGTAATTGATGACGCTATGTAACATTTCCACTATTAGTATTTTATACAGACCAAAGTAATTTTGTACTGTTTTTCTCTTAGTTGAATTAGTTGTATTGTAAATGAATCTTGTGTTTGCTGAAAACGTAGTAGTGATATGGGAAATACCAAAATGATGTCTGTTACAAAGTAAAGTAAAATAAAATGATGTATATTTACATTTACCGCAATATATTGTATCGGCAAGGTAGATTGTTAGTCTTAGGAACATATCACGGAGTCCGATGGCGGACCGTCGGACCGTCTGTTGCACCGACTCTACGTTGCAATCCTATTTATAGTGCTTTAATCTGTAGGTTATTATCGGCAATGTATCTGCTCCACTCTCAGTATTTGTATTTTGTGTGCATTATTGTTTTGGTACACTTACGTGTAGGTATACCCCCTTAGATTAGTATTCATTATACTTTGGCATATTATTATTTATGTACCTATGTATTAACTGTTTGTAGTCTTGCATAGTTTAGAATTTGTCATATATTTATATTTAAACATGAAAAGTAAAGGTTCATGTTTTCCTATTAAGACATACCTATACTATTATAGTAATAATAACTATAATGAAAACATTATATAATATGAACTATATTTATACAATTATTTGTTGAGTGCCTAATCATAAGTTTAACATAGGACTATTATTTTTAATTTTTAATTAATTCAGTTTTATTCATTTTTTCATGATCTGTATTTCATTACATATCCCCTTGGTTTAAGGATCGGAAATAATTTCGTAGTAATCCATTACTTGGTACAATTTCTTATGTTTTATTGCCTTTTTGGGACGGTGAGAATTCTTTTCCGTGTACCTCGTAATCTTTATATGTTTTTATGTATTGTACATTTTATGTAGTTTTTTATTTATTAAACATTTTTTATATAATACATTCATTTTCTCTATCCGTACCCTAACATCAAGCAGTCAATACTTTATCAACGTCATCTTCTAAAACACAGTGGAGTGAGACTGAGGTAAGAACTTATAATCAATATCTATGCAGAGCGCCTGATTCAAATCTGATTTAATACAGAATTATCTCTGAAAAATCAATCATATCAGTGGAAAAGTTCCTCCAATCAGGTGATAGTTCCCGATCCACGACCGATCGAAGATAGTTTCCTGGTGACTTAAATTATTTAGAAAATGGATTTTAATACATAGTGATAAATTACTATTTCGGTTGGTAGCAATAAATTTTGCTTGAAATTGGTGACATTTAATTTACATCAAAATTTATTATTGATCGTTTTAAAATACCATAACCAAACATTCTTGAGCGCTTAAAAGTGACACAGCGCCAAACATTTGAATCAGATTTGGTAAACAGTAGCCAAAGAAAGTTTTCTGAGAATTATAATTAAGATGTCAAGACATAAATGTTATGTTTGACACCTTTGAACATAATTATTCATTTGTCCATGTTTAGAGACCTTTTGCACGAACAAGATGGCCGCCGATTCAGTGGTACCATTCCGTATTCAAATTTAAGTTGGCGACAATGAATCTTTGGTAGCTCCAAATTTAAAATTTAGGGAAAATCAAGTTTTCAAGTCGAACTTGTAAACTTGCTGTTGACGTTGAAATTCTCGCTGACGTTGCTTTTAGGGATGAAAATTGCCATTTATAAACTCCGTTGCCAAGTTGCCGTAGTAATTTTGATGTTCAATTACCATTTTAGACATGTTTTAAGTTTCTTGTTGTCGTAATAAGTCTACATACATTAAGAAAAAAACGGCAAAATGGAGACCCGCCCACCCACCCTATCTCGATTGTGATGATTTTTTTTATTCGTCGTTGGCCAAAAGGGCGGAGTTTATCTGCAAAATCCTTATTTCTCTACGAGAAATTAAAAACATTTTTTTGAGTATCCTGTTGTTCAAAGAATACTATGCCCCAATCTAAATAGTAGTGAAGTTTTCATTCGTTGGCAGACCAAGGGGAGGAGCCTAATTGCAAAATCCATATTTCCGCACAAAACTTTACCATTTTGAACGTGTTTTAAGTTTCTAAGAATAAAAAAATCATCACAATTGAGTTGGGTGGGTGGGCGGGGTTTAAATTTTGCCTTTGTTTCTTAATGTACATAGTATTCTTTGAACAACATGATACTCAAAAACATGTTTTTAGTTTCTTGTAAAGAAATAAGTATTTTGCAGTTAAGCTCCGCCCTCTTGGTTCTCGGCGAATAAAAAAATTCTTTACAATCGAGATAGGGTGGGTGGGCGGGCAGACATATTGTCTCTTTGTTTTAATATGTGTAGACTTCTTTTTACAACATGAAAGTTAAAATACCATCTTAACCATGTTTTAAGTTTCTTGTTGTGAAAAGATAGCTATGTATTAAGAAAAAAAAGACAAAATATAACCCCGCCCACCTACCCTATCTCAATTCTGATGATTTTTTTATTCGTAGTAAGCTGAGGGGCGGAGCTTAATTGTAAAATCCTTATTTTTCTACGAGAAATAATAATTTTTTTCTCTCGATCAGTAAATAATTATTGAACTCAGGTTTCTAGTTTTTCGGATTCTGATCAATTTTGTTAAAATGTCAAAAAATTTTCCTGTACGTTTTTTTTTTAACGTTAGAGAGAATTAGGGAGAAATTACCATATGTTCTTAAGTAAACGTGTTATACAGAGAAAACTAAATGTATTAACTGAAAAAGAAAACCAAAAGAGAAGCCCCACCCATCCATCTCGATTTCAATCGTGATGAATTTTTCATTTGTTGTCAGACCGAGGGGCGGAGCTTAATTGCAAAATCCGTATTTCCCTACAAAAATGTATCATGTGCCAAAAAGTAAGGCTCGCCCACTCTCTCTGTTACAACTTGTGCTAGAGCAACTCAACATAAACTTATTTTATGCAACCAAGAATACACTTGTACTTTCTATTTTTCAAAGAAACCTTTTACAAATGACAATTTGTCAAAGCATAAATAAATTATTTTAAAATAGTTACAGATCGACAGATTTTCAAAGGTTAGAAAAACGAATCTGAAAATTATTTCAAGTGTGACTGATTTACTGGTTGCATAACATTTTGTTGATATTAAAATATTAAAAATCATAATTTCATCATTTTTTTACTGTAAGAAATGATGTGCAAACGTCAACTTGATTTTTTTTTAATCATCACGACCAGATATATCGGTTCTTTTTTAACTTGCTTTTTTCCTCAAAAGTTTCATTACAAAATAAAAAATAAATAGTGGTTATGCAACCAACACTACACGAATTTCAAGTGATTTTATTAAAATGATATATAATAATCTCAAAATATAACTGATAATACCGTAGTATTAAATCTAACGGTTGACAGGGGGGAAAATAAAGATTGGTTAATTATAACTTGACGTTTCAAAACATTTTAAATCTCAATTGTTTCAAATCTGCCACTGTTAATATAGTTGACTTATTATCTATTTTTTTATACATTCATTAATATGCGCACTAAATTTTTGTTTAAAATTGAAAAAGGTTGGTGAGATTGCTTTACAGGGATTTATATATTTACCTTCTTGTCATTTTGACATTTCAAATTTTCAAAATCTGTGTCATTCAATTACCAAATTCGAAGTTCCGACTAAGGTGGTCGCCAATTCAGTAGTACCAAGTGAAAAAAGTTGATAATATTTGTGCGCACAATAAACAATAACAAATTTTGACGTAAATTAAATGTCATTGCCAATCATGTCAGTTCTGCCAACAGGAAGTAAAGTCTCATTTACACTTTGACTCTGGCACGATTGGCAGACTGAGTGCAAAATGTGTGGACTTGAATTCGACCCAGTGCGGGTGGGCGGGGCTAATACCTGCTGAAATAAGACTGATTGTGACCAATGACATAACCTCTAAGGAAAAAGAGGGCGGCCGGGGGGGGTAGAACTTGCTGATGGCTATATTTTTGGAAGCAGCACGTCAAGATCTATAACTTTGAATTTTTTAAGAATTTTTAGACGACTTTTTCAAAAATGAAATTTTCCATTATGTATATCTCTTTATGTAAATTTCGACCCTTTTTGAACGATTTTCGAAATTTAACTAAATACATTTTCTTGTAGATGTCTTCGATAACTCCAACCGTTTTTCCAGAAGCATCTATTGAAATATCGCAATTTTCAAAAATTTTAAAAAAATCCAATTTCACACCGAATATTCCGAAAATATTACAACGTTACCATAAACACACTACATTTTTGGAATCAGGACATCAAGATCTAAAACTCTGAATTTTTGAGAATTTTTAGACGACTAACCTAAATACCGCCCACCAACCCCGCCATTTTATCTGGTTTGAATAAAAACTGTATCTTATATTGAACAGAAATAAAATCGTTAGACCTTGCTAAGATAAAACTGATTGTGACCAATGACACAACTTCGTAAGGAAATAGAAGGTGGGTGGGCGGGGCTAGTATTTGTAGAGATAAGACTAATTTTGGTAGATGCTTGAACAATATTAGGAGTAGTCAGTGGAAAAATCAAACTTAGCCCCGCCCACCCACCCGTCTAATAGCAAATAGTATGCCATAGAGATTAGTACCTTTTTATTATTTTTTTTTAACAGCCTACGTTCTATTAGTTCCCGTTCCCACTCTACAAAGGAACATATAATTAATCCCGCCCACCAACCCTTCCTCTAGTTCAGTTTATCTAGTCATAATGAAAGGTGGTCTTATAGTAAACAGAACTAAAATCGTTTGAATGAGAACAAGGCGGGTGGGCGGGGCTAGAACTTGCTAGTGTAAGACTAAATACTCTGTATTTTTGGAATCAGGACGTCAAGATCTATAACCTTGAATTTTTTAAGAATTTTTAGACGACTTTTTCAAAAATGAAAATTTCCACAATGTATACCTCCTTTATACAAATTTCGACCCATTTTCGACGATTTTCGAAATTTAACTAGATACATCTTCTTGTAGATTTCTTCGATAACTCCAACCGTTTTTCCAGAATCATCTATTGAAATATCGCAAGTTTTAAAAATTAAAAAAAAATCCAATTTCACACCGAATATTCCGAAAATATTATAACGTTACCATAAACACACTGCATTTTTAGAATCAGGACATCAAGATCTAAAACTCTGGATTTTTGAGAATTTTTAGACGACTAACCTAAATACTCCCCACCAACCCCGCCATTTTATCTGGTTTGAATAAAAACTGTATCTTATATTGAACAGAAATAAAATCGTTAGACCTTGCTAAGATAAAACTGATTGTGACCAATGACATAACCTCGTAAGGAAATAGAGGGCGGGTGGGCGGGGCTAGTATTTGTTGAGATAAGACTAATTTTGGTAGATGATTGAACAATATTAGGAGTAGTCAGTGGAAAAATCAAACTTAACCCCGCCCGCCCACCCGTTTTTTAAATTTTTTCTTCTGAAATAAAAAATGAATGTAATAGCAAATAATATGCCATAGAAATTACGATTAGCACCTTTTTTATTATTTTTTTTTTAACAGCCTACGTTCTATTAGTTCCCGTTCCCACTCTACAGACGAACATATAATTAATATCGCCCACCGTCCCTTCCTCTATTCCAGTTTATCTAGTCTGAATGAAAGGTGGTCTTATAGTAAACAGAACTAAAATCGTTTGAATGAGAACAAGGCGGGTGGGCGGGGCTAAAACTTGCTAGTGTAAGACTAAACACTCTGTATTTTTGGAATCAGGACGTCAAGATCTATAACCTTGAATTTTTTAAGAATTTTTAGACGACTTTTTCAAAAATGAAAATTTCCACAATGTATACCTCCTTTATACAAATTTCGACCCATTTTCGACGATTTTCGAAATTTAACTAAATACATCTTCTTGTAGATTTCTTCGATAACGCCAACCGTTTTTCCAGAATCATCCATTGAAATATCGCAATTTTCAAAAATTTTTTAAAAATCCAATTTTACACCGAATATTCCGAAAATATTACAACGTTACCATAAACACACTACATTTTTGGAATCAGGACATCAAGATCTAAAACTCTGAATTTTTGAGAATTTTTAGACGACTAACCTAAATACCGCCCACCAACCCCGCCATTTTATCTGGTTTGAATAAAAACTGTATCTTATATTGAACAGAAATAAAGTCGTTAGACCTTCCTAAGATAAAACTGATTGTGACCAATGACACAACTTCGTAAGGAAATAGAGGGTGGGTGGGCGGGGCTAGTATTTGTTGAGATAAGACTAATTTTGGTAGATGATTGAACAATATTAGGAGTAGTCAGTGGAAAAAACAAACTTAGCCCAGCCCGCCCACCCGTTTTTTAAATTTTTTCTTCTGAAATAAAAAATGAATCTAATAGCAAATAGTATGCCATAGAAATTACGATTAGCACCTTTTTTATTTTTTTTTTTACACCCTACGTTCAATTAGTTCCCGTTCCCACTCTACAAAGGAACATATAATTAATCCCGCCCACCCCCCCTTCCTCTATTTCAGTTTATCTAGTCTTAATGAAAGGTGGTTTTATAGTAAACAGAACTAAAATCGTTTGAATGAGAACAAGGCGGGTGGGCGGGGCTAGAACTTGCTAGTGTAAGACTAAACACTCTGTATTTTTGGAATCAGGACGTCAAGATCTATAACCTTGAATTTTTTAAGAATTTTTAGACGACTTTTTCAAAAATGAAAATTTCCACAATGTATACCTCCTTTATACAAATTTCGACCCATTTTCGACGATTTTCAAAATTTAACTAAACACATTTTACGCATTTATTGCTCTGTTACGATAAACACGTTACATTTCTGGAATCAGCACGTTTTCAAAAATAAAATTTTCGGCTATGTATACCCTAACGTAAATACCGCCCACCAACCCCGTCTGCATTTCAGTGATTCACTTTATGTGGTTTGAATAAAAACTGTATTTTATACAGAACAGAAATAAAATCATTAGAACCTGCTAAGATAAGACTGATTGTGGCCAATCACATAACCTCTAAGGAAATAGAGGGCGGCTGGGCGGGGCTAGTATTTCTTGATTTCAGACTAATTTTAGTAAATGACTGAACAATATTAGTAGTAGTCATTGGAATGACGAGGGGGTGGGTGGGTGGGGCTTTTGCTTTTTTATAAAAGATTGGAAAAATCAAACTTAGCCCCGCCCGACCACCCGTTGTTTAATTTTTTTTTCTTCTGAAATAAGAAATAAATCTTATAACAAATAGTGTACCAAAAAAATTACGACTAGCACCTTTTGTTTATCTTTTTCAACAGCCTACGTTCTATTAGTTCCCGTTCCCAGTCTACAAAAGAACATATAATTAATCCCGCCCACCCTGCCCCCTTCCTCCATTTCAGATTATTTAGTCTATCAACAATTGTTGAAACACGGTCAAAAATGTATACGAAGGTAAAAATTTAAATCTTTGGAAACATGGCTAATTCTCAAAACTGCCAAAATCAGTGTTATCTTAGCAACTACTAGCCCCGCCCACCCGCCCTCTATTTTCTTGGAAAGTATGTTATTTGCCAAAATCAGTGTTATCTTAGCAAGTACTAGCCCCGCCCACCCGCCCTCTATTTTCTTGGAAAGTATGTTATTTGCCAAAATCAGTGTTATCTTAGCAAGTACTAGCCCCGCCCACCCACCCTCTATTTTATTGGAACGTATGTGATTTGCCAAAATCAGTTTTATCTTAGTAAGTACTAGCCCCCCCCCCCCTCTTCTCATTCTAACGACTAATGCTACTTCCGTTAAGTATAAGATTATTCATTTCATTCAGATCGGATAAAATCAATCACTGAAAAGGAGACAGGGTGGGTGGGCGGGGCTAGTCCTTCTGTGGAATGGGAGTAAAAAGTAATAATACAATCTAGGATGTGAAAAAAGGAAAAAAAAACGCCAATCGCAACTTTTTTTTGTTATACGAAGTATTTGCTCTAAAATTTATTTCTTTTTCTTCGAAATTAATACCAATGAAAAATTCTTATGAAAGACAATCTAATCCGAAAAAATACAGTTTTTTAATTAACTAAAAATCAGAAAAGCAGGCAATTTTTTTTATAGGGTATATAAATTGCCAAAATCAGCCTTATTTTAGCAAGTACTAGCAAGGTAGTCTTATAGTAAACAACTACTTGCTAATAAGATAATAAAAATAAGACTAATTTTGATAAATAATATACCTTCTAAGAAAAAACAGGGTGGGTGGGCGGGGCTAGAATTTACTAGTGTAAGACTAAATACAACTGAAGCAGTATTTGTTGATGATTACGCTGGATTGGACTTTAACTTTAAACAGACTTCAAGAACTAAAATCAATAAGGGTTCCTATCAATCTGCTATTTTCTTTAAAAAATATTCTTTAGAAAATAAACCACAAGAACCCCAAATTTTTGGCACTAGAGGCCTCCAAGGCAATTTCAGATTACTTCTAAGACAAAATTCAAATGTTTCTTAAAAAAAAAAGATACTAGAGCCTCCCAAGAGTCTTTTAAAGTCTGTGAAAAATAAAACACCAGAGGTTCTTTCACATTCTTCCTATCAGAGGCCAAAAAATCAAAATACCAGGGGTCTTTAAAATTTTCTCAAATTCGTGAAACACATCATCATTCTTGAAAAGATTATTAGTTTAAAGTTTAGACATAATTTCCCTTATCCCTGAAGTACAAGCAATTAAACAAGCCCAACTATATTGTAAGATAAATTTTACAAATTTTGACAACCCTTATAGATTTATATAAAATTAAGGGTGGGTTATTAAAGTACCTGCTGATAAAGGAGCATCATGACATGCTTAAAATCACCTAACACTCGACAATACAGAGACGAAATCGGGGACCTACTTTTTCATCTTCTAGGGGCTACGAAACGTCAAGTAAAACATGAAATTAGTTAAAAAAAGTAAACTTTAATTTATAACAATTTCAAAAATCTCTCAGTTTTTCCTGAATCCAGGTGACCAAATTCGCCACATTGGTGTATAAACTTGGCACGTCCTTCTGCCCACATCGCAACCCCCAAGCCACTATTCCCGCTTGAACATAGCGGCCATTTTCTTCACACATTAAAGGACTCCCACCATCATTCTTGCACGTATCTACACCATCTTCACCTCCGGCACAAATATACGACGGATGTACCTGGAAATTCGGCCCTAAAGAGGTATTCCTGAGAAGATTCTGGCACTCTTGGGAGTCAGTGATGGGCAAATTAACTTTCCTTAATTTTCGAGCTCCAATAAAAAAATAATAGAACACACAAATTTCTGACAAACCTAATAAATACTTACTACCAGAGCCCGTAGTCCCACTCCAACCAATCGCAGTACATCTCCTACCACTGAAATTTTGCTCAGGATTTGGCAGACAAACAATCCTTGCGTTCGAAACAGGAGTTTTCAGAACTAGCAACGCAATATCGTTAACCCCTTCAGACGGGTACAACTCCTGTTTAATTATTTCTTTGAGTGGTAGGACGATCAAACTGTCCAGTAAAACTTCTTTTCCAACTACCACTCTATACTCGTCTGCAGTATCTCTTCAAAAAAACTCATCAAGCTGACGACGAAGGAAAGAAAGGTAAGCTTACGAATGAACGCACTGTTGTTCGGTCATCACAACCCTGGGGTGAATTAAAGAACCCCCACATATAAATCTATAATCATTAGCTCTTCGTTTACGAAACACTGCAACCACCCAAGGAAACTTTTCTATGAGTCTACTGCTCGCAGCGTACCCGGATTGGCCACAGTTGGAGTTGGTAAATGAAGTTGGTTGCCGGGTCGGCGGAAGTACCACCGGGGTGTGTGTCACCTGTGATAAAGGTCGAGGTCGTGATGTAGACGACTCGAAATTTATTTGGGTTTCGTTTTTGTTCTTGCAACAGTAGTAGAACTCGTTGGAACATTTTAAACGGGGAGTATATCGCAGACTTGTGTGGAGTCTGCGAACACAACAAAGAAGACGATTGCCACTACAAACCGGCACGTGACCACTAGTGTCACTGTACTTACCTAGCGTGGGTAGCTTGAAGTTGGTCTTCTGGAATAATAAAATTGTCTTCATCGCACTGGTAAAAGATGACACAGCGGCAAATGTTGAAAATTTGGGTGATCGAATCGTCCAAATTGTCTGGTGGTAAGGTCACGGAGTCGCGATTTCTACTCGGACCCAGCGAAATTTGCGCGTTTGCGAGGGATATCAAAAGAATTAAAAATAAATGCGTCCACATGGTATTTACATTCACGTACATAATTCACACCACTAAGTATTGCCGAACTGTGGTATTTTTAACGAAAGATTGTCATTATCTTGAGGTTAAAGGATCACTGCGTGTTTGTAGAGAACTGGTTGTTGGAAAAACCAGACTGTGTGCTAAGTTAGAAAAGGAGAGTTCGCAGGTCAGCCGGTTTGGAAATCACAGAGTGACGAGGTAAATAAATGTGTCCATAATTAGTGGTTTTGTGATTATGTGTAGTAAATACACATCGGAAATGGTCGAGCAAATCGCTTACTTTTTGCGCGTACTGTACTCTGAAATAAATGTTTTAATAGTGATGTGGTTAAACGTTGGTTTTAGTTGATGACAATAAATACTGTGATAACCTGAACAACCCGCTTTAAATTGATATGCGAAAAAAATTGAAAGCCCGCGAAAAATAAAAAAAAATTGGCCTCGATATGGAGGACACAAAATTATGTATTCCTCCACTGACAAAAAAAAAGTTGCGACTAAGTTGTGCCGGCTGAAGACACCTCTTAATGCTCAGCTACAAAAAAAAAACTTTGAATGAAATCAAATCAACGTTCTGAATCAATGCAAATATTTCAATATCACAAAATTAGCACGAGCAGAGTTTGGGGCTCCTGGTTGTGGCTGTTCTCCCTCCATGACGGTGATTCTATTCTATCCTATCGGGAAGCAAATCCGTCCGACCGTCAGCTCCACAGGAAACCGCGCACTGCGCTTCCGCTTTCTACAACTCTGATATTAAACAACTGAACAAGTGTCAAAATTTCAAAAAGAGCCTTAAACAACATTTAATTTCGCCATACACTATCGTGACATTTTAAACAGCAAAGAATTTTTATCTGAGATTAAGATTGGACATCAGACATCAGGAAACACTAATCAATAAAATATTTACATGGAAAAAAACTAGCAGATCTCTCTGATGTGGACTATCGTAAACACAAAATGCATCCAGTGTTGCGAGGAATGTGATAACTACCAAAGGGGGAAAATTTAATCCCTCCTTACTTTTGTTTACGAATTCTACCGCACTTTCACGGTCCTTTCTCCAGACTGGGACAACGTTAGATTGGTTTAATTGCCGTAAATGAACTATTAGCAATCTTGTGTGAAGGATTAAGAAGTGTTCTAATGTAACACTTGAGTATAAGCATCCATAAATTTTATTCATAATTTGATAAACAAAAAGGATGAGTCCTGACTAAGTGAATTTCATGAAATCTGCTAGCAAGTGCTTTATCTTAACAATTTCTAACGGTTAACCTTGTGTTTAGAACAAGTTAACTAGTAAAATCCTAACATGAACTGTGAATTTACAAACAATAAATCAAATTTACACCATGTGTTGGTGAATAGAAAACAAAGAAAGGACAAAAGTCCAAAAGAAAGGACAAAAGTCCAAAAAAAAGGACAAAAAGTCCACAAATAATACCAGTAAAAAAATGGAGTCAAAAAAGGTGACTAAAAATTCACAAAATACAAAAACCAAAAAAGAATAAAAACTGTACAACAAGAGATAAAAAATACGAAAACAAAGGACAATAAAGTCATAAAAATACTAAAAAATGCCACGACAAAAAGGAACGTAAAAAGTGTACCAAAAAACAAAAAAAAAGCTACAAAACCAGAGGACAAAAAAATCAACAAAAAAATTCTTTAAAAGAACAACAAAAAAGTGACTACAAAAATGGTTACAACAGACGACAAAACAGGATTAATTATGAAAAAGTTTATAATAAAGCAACCAAAAAAAAAGGACTACACAAAGAAGCGAGATAAAAAAAAGCCAAAAGTGGCTACTAAAAGGGGCAAAAAAAATCTTTAAAAATAAAAAAAGGTCAGTAAAAAAGGCAACAAAAAACACAAAAAAGCGACAAAACACACAAAAAAAACCTACAAAAACAGCAAAGGCGACTACAAACAGTGATGCAAGAGACGACAAAAAAAATCACAAAAAAGCAAAACAAGTGAGAAAAAACGACTGAAAATGACGACAAAAGGAGACAATAAAGCCAGAAACAAAAAGAAGGAAAAATTCATCAAATTTTTTAAGGCAACAAAATGCCATAACACAGGACGAACAACATAAAAAATGGAAAAAGTACTTAAAAAGAGAGTTAAAAATGCCACTTAAATGAGTCAAAAATGCCAAAAAAAAGTGATATAAAAGGTGACAAAAGAAGAAAACAAAATAAAGTAAACCAAAAATATCAAAAAATCGACAACAAAGGCGACAATAAAAAGTGACAAAAAACGACAAAAAAAAATCATAATGGTGCAACAAAAAAACAGAATACAGAAAGAAGCGAGATAAAAATAACAAAAACGGCTACAAAAAAAAAACATCACAAGAAAGAAAATAAAAAAGAACAAAAAGTTTACAAAAAGGCGGCAAAAATGCGGAGCAAAAGATAAAAAAAATGCAGCGAAACATGTAACAAAAAAAGGCAAAATACAAACCCCGCCCACCCGCCCTCATCTCAATTATGATGAATTTTCTTATTCGTCGCGAGCCGAGGGGCGGAGCTTAATTGCAGAATGCTTATTTCTCTACAAGAAGCTACCATGTGAAACATGTTTGTTGTTGAAAGAAAAGTACATATGTCAAGAAAAAAAGTTAAAAATAGGCCCCGCCCCAACCTCAATTGTGACGAATTGTTCATTCGTTGTCCGACCAAGGGGCAAAGTTAGTAGCTGAAGTTATCCGGAATCAATATGAAGATGCCAATGGTTAAATTTCCAACGTAAAGAAAGTATTCTTAAAGCTCATTTGAAAATCCAAGCCTTCCGTGAAGCCTTACCAGTTTGTCCGTTGCCTCCAGAACCTGTTCTGACAAGATGGGTTAATTTTGGTAATTTCTCGTAGAAAAATAAGGATTTTGCAATTAAGCTCCGCCTGCTTACTCACAACGAATAAAAAAATATCGTCACAACTGAGACAGGGTGGATGGGCGGGGCTTATAATTTGACTTCTCATCATAAGTTAAAATAAGATAGGTACACAATGTTAAAAGCTACAATGCAGCAAAACGACCCGAAAAAGGTGCATGCTAAGCATATGTTTTAAGTGAGTTTTTCCATAACAAAAATTAGGACATGTGCGACCCGGAGGTACGATTGCCGATATAGAAACCACCGCTTCACTGAGATTTACATTCTGTAAAATGTAATTCTACTGTGTTATAATTTTGTTGAGAAAATTTAGCGGTTTAGGGAAATAACTTAAATCGGATTCGTACACAACAATTACATGAGAATACCGGGTGTCTGGAAAATGGCGGATTTACTCTTCAAAATAATAATAACAATCCGTGAATACCTTCGGCTTACTTTCTGATTTCTTAGTAACGATGATGACTGAAATCCTCCTTTTATTTTTTTTTTAGGACAATAATTCATTAATAAATACACCAAAAAAACATTTAATAAGACATTTATAAATTATAAACAAAAACAAATCCAACAAAGAAAAGTCCATTAAAACATAACCAACTAAACACTAGAGAAGATGTTCAAAATTCCTGCCTTGTGCAAATTTTGATCATTTTTTGAAAAAGTTAGTTATCAGTACTTGATAAGAAAAACTGGTTTTGGCAAATGGCATAGCCTCGAAGAAAAGAGAGGGTGGGTGGGCGGGGCTAGTACATGCTAAAATAAGGCTGATTTTAGCAAATAACGTATCCTCTAAGGAATTGATTTAAATTATTATAAGAAAAGACACTGGGGGCTCTAAAGCACTTTCAAATGTTTTTCAAACAGGAATACCTAGAACCTCAAGATTAATTTAAACTGTTCAAAAAAAAGCGGGTTCTCAAAATTAACTCAAAAACAAGTTAGGTCAGAATTTTCCAAAAATAGAACACCAAATTCCCCCAAAGTTGTTTTAAATAATTTACAAAAAGAAAAAAAAATTCCATGGGCTTCCAAAATAATACACCATGGGTATCCAAGTCTCCCGACTTAAAAAAAAAACAATGCGACACTCAAGACTTTTAAATTGCGATAACGTATAGTGGGTCGCAAAATTTGGAATTAAAAAAATTCGACGGAAATGCTCGACTTACTTTTTGCGCGTACTGTACTCTGAAATAAATGTTTTACTAGTGATGTGGTTTAACGTTGGTTTTAGTTGATGACGTCATATTTACATTACATATTTTGAAAGAACACCCTAAATACTGTGATAACCCGAAAATCCCGCCTTAAATTGACATGTGAAAAAAAATTGAAAGCCTGCGGAAAATTCAAAAATTTGGCTTGGCTGTGATCGTCCTCGATATGGAGGACACAAAATTATTTATTTCTTCACTGACAAAAAAAAAAAGTTGCGACTAAGTTGTGTTGGCTGAAGATACCTCTTAATGCTCAGCTACAAAAAAAAACTTTGAATGAAATCAAATCAACGTTCTCAATCAATGCAAATATTTGAATATCACAAAATTAGCACGAGCAGAGTTTGGGGGTCCTGGTTGTGGCTGTTCTCCCCCCACGACGGTGATTCTATTCTATCCTATCGTATACCACATCCGCCCAGCACCCCTCTATCTAACGAAGAAACGTGCCGTTACGGTCGCAAACTCGTGTCATCCCGACCGCCCTCTTGACTTCTATTCAAAGCCTGCATCCTTTGTGCAGATGGCGCGACCGCCAGCTCCACAAGAAACCGCGCACTCCGCTTCCGCTTTCTATAACTCTGATATTAAACAACAACTGAACAAGTGTTAAAGTTTCAAAAAGAGCCCTAAACAACAAAGAATTCTTATCTGAGATTAAGACATCAGACATCAGCAAACATTAATCAATAAAATATTTAGATGAAAAAAACTAGCAGATTTATAAAAACCAAAAAAGATCTAGTGTGGAATAAAACTTGTGCAGATAAAAAATTCCGTGAGGTTAGGAACTGCAGAGCATGAAAATTTACTTTCAGTTTAAATTATACAGCAAAGAAAATTACTGAGGCTAAAATTGCGAGACAGAAAAAATGCATGAGTTACTTGAATATATTATAACAAGAATTTACATGATGTTAAATTATGCCATTATCCCAGTGATTGGTTACTTAAAACAATTAGCTTTGAGAGTTTATATCGTGGACTGTCCCCAGCTTGTCTCACACCAACACATG